GCCAGGAAGTCCCCGCCGGCGCCGCGCCGGACGAAGGCGGAGAGCTGGAAACGTTTGCGGCGGAATCTTTACCTTTCAGGTGACGACCCTTCCGCCCCTCAGCTCTTGACCTGTGACCCCGCCGCTCATCCAACGTTGACCTTCCGGCGCAGAAACGCCAGTTCGGCCTTTGGCGCGGCCAAGGAGGAGAGCAACCTGCTGCGCCGCCTGGAAGGATACTTTAGCCACGCCCACTGCCCGCAGTTCAACCGCTCGGAGTCGCTCAGGTCAGCCACATCGCTTGACGCCTGCTGCCTTGGTGACTTGCCAGATGCAAATTTGTTCAGGGTGGACTCAAAATGCAGTCGATGCGATTGGGGAATCTTGATGGCAACTCCAAACGTAGGCTGCAAAATGCCCCCCCCCCACCCCCTCTTCGGTCTGCATCTTTTTGTACGCCCAAAAAAACAGCTAGAAAAAGGAGAAACGACAGCAGCAACCAAAAACAGAATTGTTTCCTCAAATGGGGTCTGTGTAATTTCTATGCCGGCTGCCTTTGGTTAAACGTTCGTTGCGGGGGTGTGGGTGGGGGCTCTGTTTTATTTGCAGGCTGGCGGCAGAGCTTCGTGGCTGGGCTCAGCGCCATCAGATCAACCACAAGAAGTCAGGCGGGAAAGCCAAGAAGGCCAAGATGGCTCAGGTGGGTTAGCGCCTCTTGCTGGACCACCGGCAGCCGCACGCGCGACCTCTGAGAGCATCGTGTGCATCCGTTCGACAGCGGGCCCAGCTGAGGAAGGCCAACGTGTCGCGATACCTGCCCATCCAGACTCACCGCTCCATTGAAAGGTGCGAAAGCAAGCCAGCCCATACCGGCTCCTTTCTTCCCATATGCTCGGCTGACTCTCGTGCGCGCGCACACACGCACACACTCTCACAGTCAGCTGCAGCTGCTTCCCGGGCCCGAGTTGACCTACGGCGACTTCCTGGACTCGATCGACCGGCGCGAGGACACCTTCTACGTGGTGTCTTTCAGACGGGTGGGTGGCTGACCCGGCCGGCTCGCTGCCCCGGACGCTCCCTCGCCCGCTTTTTCACGCTTGTCGCATGGCTGCAGGACCACCTCCTGCTGCCCGCTATCAGTCACAACAAGACGCGCCGGCCCAAGATGTCGCTCGTCATGCCTGCCATGTCGGTCAGCGGTAAGCGCCAAACGTCTTGCCGCAAAAAGTACAAACGTCTGCGCTTCCGTCCTTAACGTCGCAGCTGACGAGATATGCGGCAGTCGATGGAGATATTGACAACTAATTGGAATCAAACTCATATCAACCACTGCTTTTGGTGACCTTGTTGAACTTGGAACTTCCCAAATCCTCTCTCAGCCTCTCAACAGTAAATCTTGTCCCATTTCTGTCGTCCACGGAACCATTCAGTCATTTTTGCTTCCTTTTTTTTTTTGGGGGGGTGGGGTGCAGAGATGCAGTCAACTTTGAATTTTATGTCCCCCCCTTTGGGCTGGGGCGGGGTGGGGCTGATTTTGAGCCTGGCCTCATTTTTTTTCTCCAGCACATCCAATATTCATCATATTGATAATGATAACAGATGCATTAATGGTGTATTTGGTAGTCTTTACCAAGGTAGTAGCCTTCGATGCAGCATCAGGGCAAATTTATTTTCTGAAAGGTCATAGCTAGAAATGACAATCTGCATGGTGCAAGCTTTTATAGGTCAAACTTAAAAAAAAAAAAGAAGAAAATCTCGCCAAACCTGTTGTGCTCGATTAAAAAGTGAAGACGTTTTTGAAATCGGGGACGCATAAAAGCCGACTGCAATTCAAATTTGCTGTTGACCAGTGTATTGGGTTTTCCTGATTGAAACGGAACTGGAATCTCCTTAAATGACCTTTCCCCCCCCCCTCATCTTCAAAAATCTGACAATTTAAGTTGTTGTTGCTGAATGTCATCTTAGACGTGCTATCATTCCCGCTGTTTGCTTTGCCCCGGCCACTAGAGAGCCTGTACAACGCGTCACATGGCTACGAACTCATGATGCAGGTGGACTGCGAGGTGATGAACACGCGCACCGTCCCCATCAAGTCGTCGTCCGTGCCCCCGTCGCGGCGGGACCCGCCGCCGACGTCCCCGCCGCACGCTGCCGCCTCCAACCACTCGGCCCTGCGAGGGCGCCACCAGCATCAACCGCCGCGTCCCCGAGCCGAATACCTCCTCAGTCAGTCCGAGGGCGTCTGAAGCAAGCAAGCGGAGGACGCTTGGTTTCCCCCCCATGAAAGCATGCTGATGGGTTTTTTTTTCTACTTGTATTTAATGTTTGTACATAGTGATATGTAAATATTTATTTTATTTTTATTTTTAATTTTTTTTATGCATTTGGGTCTTTGGCGAGAAAAGTGTCAAAAGTTGTTTTCGTGTTTGTTTTTGACGTCCTAAAAGGCCTTGTCCGCTCGTCACTTCCGGTTTACTCGTTCGGTCGAATTAAAGCTTGAGCGCCCTCTACTGGCGGCCCGGAGTCTCTCTTTGGACCGGGAAGTACAGCCCAGGTACGGTTTTGTTTCTTTCCTCCATCCCGCTAACAGGAAAGAGTCGAGGTCTAGACCCAATCAAAACTCGCCAGTTGCTGTGAAGTCCCCACAATCCGGCAGCGTGTCCTCATTTTTGGGAGCACAAGGTTGTGTTCGCGTTTCAATGGCCACAGTGCGCTGGTTAGTGAAGTGTTTGGCACACTTGGTTGTACTTGGTTGTTGAATTTGACATTTTGCCCGCACAATACGACTCATGATTATGACACAAAAGTGGTGCTTTTCTCTTGGGGGCAGCGTCATTTCCTTTGCGCCCCCCACCGTCCTGTGTCGCAGGTGGAAATTACGAGGGCAGCCAGATGCTTAGTCCCGCCCCCAAAGTGGCGCTGCTGCACGTTGATTGGCCGAAGGCTGAGCGATGCGCCATTTGAATTTGGACCGGCTTTCCACTCAACTTGGCTGCATTTAAAGTTGCTTTTTGCCAATCTGCTCGGACTGGGCAACTTCGCGCACGGCCTGGTAAGTTCAAGAACCGCAGCGAGTCCACGAAACGGACGACACGAG